AGAAACCATATTCTGAATTTGAATGTGAAAAGGAAGTTGTGATGACCCGGACAAGGCACGAAGGCCAAACAGCCAGCAGAGAGTTCAAACTCCCCTTTAATGCTCCAATTTACTCCCCCACCAAAGAACTCACACACACACATAGCAGCCTCTGGCTGCAAGCAGTCCAGCAAAGCAAAGGAACAGGGAAATGAATCCACAAAGCAAGGAACAAGGCACTGAGTCCATGAAGCAGGGAAGAAGGCAAGCAGTCTTGCAAATGCCAGACGTTTCCAACAGCACACAGAACTCCACTAATTCAGCATTTGTTTCCAACAAACGCCCCTCCCCACAGTGTCTCCTTAAATCTCTGTCCCCAGGTGTACCTTGTGAAGAGGGGCAGGGCGCTCTCCTCCCGAGTTGTTGGGTCAGCCTGCGCTGTTCCCAACTCCTTTCCTCTGTCCAGGAGGGGGCGGTCCTTGCTCATCGCATGAGCTCTGTCACTCCTCATGTCCACTGCTTGCCTTCTCTTGGTCATTCTGCCCCCCCCCCACCGTTCCTGCTTGCCCGTCCCAGGGTGCCGCAGGATTGGGGGACCTGAGGGACCCTGGGCTGCTTCAGCCTGCTCCTTCCACATTCCTCCGAAGCCAACGGAGCCACCCCCTTGATCTCCATCGGCTCCAGCTCCAGCTCATCCTCCTCTGCAGATTCAGGCTCTGATGGGGGCATGACAAAAGTCGCTTTACCCACCAAAGGGAGTATCACGATAGACTCTTGGTCTTTGGCCTCTGTGATATATCTCTAAGCAAGACCTGCATGACCGTTTTTCATGTTTATGGCCATTGTGGTCATGTGATCAAAATTCAGGTGCTTGGCATCTGATTCATATGACAATCGCAGTGTCCCAGGGTCATGTGATCTCCTTTTGCGACCTCCTGTCAAGCAACATCAATGGGGAAGTCGGATTCACTTAACAACTGTGGCAAGAAAGGCCACAAAATGGAGCTGAATTCACTTAACAAATGTCTCACAGAACAACAGTTGTGATCGTAAGTTGAGAACTGTCTGTATCGTGGAAAAGCTAACTGCAGACAAGGGAGGAAATACATATTTGAGACTGAATAGATACATCTTGGTCTTCTTGTAATATATATATATGTATGTATGTATGTATGTATGTATGTATGTATGTATATGTATATGTATATGTATGGCATTCAGATTTGTTCAGGTATTTTCCCACGTCATTGTAGTTGTGCTTTTAAAGTTGTAGCAACGTTTCGGCACAATCTCATCTGCCATCATCAGGCTTCTGTATTGTGTTCGTCTGTGAGTCAGACTTTTACAGTTGTTTCAGTTTTAAATTTGGGGCTAAATTTTGGTACTTTAACTACTAGACCAAAATGACTCTGTGCAGTCCTCTCAGAAGTGATTGTGAGAACAAAAAATAAAAAAAATCATAGTTTATAAAGAAGTAGCTTTCTCTCTCATTTCACTCCGCTACAAACCCAGCAAGGTTTTCTGATTGCTGTAGCTTGCATAGATGAGATTTTAATTTTGCATAATTTGTGCAAGCCCATTAAACTTAATATCGTGAGGCTAGTTATGTGCATTTTGTCTAAAATGACTTTTCAAAATGACATCTGGAGTTCAAAGTGCTTTTTGTTACAATCAAGGGCTTTTAACATCTGCATGAATCTAAGTTATTTGCAGTAGTGGATTTCGGACTGCTTTTGCCAAAAGAATTTAATTTTAATTAAATTGTTAATTTTAAACTTCTATTCTAAAAACAAAATCAAACAAATAAACAAAACCATTCACTGTTGGCCATATGGCCGAGTCTGCTGACAGTTGAGAATATTAAGCTGATATATTCTGGATAAAAAGTAATTTACAAAATAAAGGGTTGGAAACAAATGAACGAAAATAATAATGCAATGGCAGTGGTTGTGTTTCATTTACAGTTATATATGTCTAAAAATTTGGTAGAAAGATAAGTTAAAGTTGTAAGCAAAACCTTGCTGTACATGATTACAAAGAAGGAAAATATTATACAGTTTAGCTTTCTTGAAAATTGAGAACCTATTCAGCAATTACCTGCACGGTGTGATCCAGAATACACACACACACACACACACACACACACACACACACACACACAATAGACACACACATACATACAGTATATGTATGTATGTATGTATGTGTCTGTCTTGTCTTGTCTTGTCTTGTCTTATCTATCTATCTATCTATCTATCTATCTATCTATCTATCTATCTATCTAT